TAATACCTAAATATCAATGAGATAACTTACCAAATAGTAATATTTAAAAAACAAAAAAACAAAAAAAGCTAGTAATGTTAAATACATTCTATACTATTAGCATTTCGCGATTGAATAATCAATATTTTTCATGCTTTATATATATAGTGCAACATATCCATATTTATCTCAAATTCTATTCTTTTGAGATCGAAAGGATAATAATAATTGAAAAATCATATTATCCCTACCAAGGTTCTAAATATCGGCCGGTACGTGCCGTACCGGCCGGTTCGTAACGGAAAATGAGAGTGCCGAGTTGAATACTCACCGATATACCGGTAAGAACGAATTTCACGTCCGTAGCGGCAGATTCCGGACACGTATCGGCTAGTATCCGATACGTGAGCATTCCAGTTCCGGTATAGTCCGATTCGGCTGAAAAACGAGCAAAGCATATGGAAAAATAATTGAGGAAAGCAAGTCACATGGAAAAGCAAATCACTTGGAGAAGCATCGAATCAGACCAAACCTCAAACCCAAATCAAACCCAATCGGACCAAACTCAACTCAACTCCCCAAAGTTTTCCTTCAATCGGACCAAACGCAACTCCCCAATCAAACCTAAATCCATCTCCCAGGGGCATCGATCTTGTAAAGTGTTGCAAGGAGAAGCATCAAATTGAACCCGAACCATCACCGATTTCAAGCTTCTTCATTGAAGGTTTTTCTCTCATGCTTTGTTTACATTTGTTTCGTGCTCTGTTTTTTGCTTTGGCTGAACACTTCTTCAAATGGTTTTGCTTCTGTTCGGTTTGTTTATATTATATTATGTTATATTATATTATTTTATGGTTTTGCTTCTTCAAATGGTTTTGCTTCTGTCTGGTTTGCTTCTGTTCGGTTTGTTTATGTTATATTATGTTATTTTTTTTCTTCTTCAAATGGTTTGTTTATATTATATTATGTTATTCTTTTCTTTTCTCTATGGTTATTTTTTTATTTATATTATGGTATGGGATGGTTTTGCTTGGTAAGTTGCGTTTGGTTTGTTTATAATTTATTTATTTATTTTTTTTTCTGGTTAGTTGTCTATAATGGTTTATAATTTGTTTGCTTGGTAAGTTGTGTTTGGTTATTTTTTTATTTATATTATGGTATGGGATGGTTTTTTTCTTGATTTTTTTAAATAACCAAACTATATATAATAAATATTAATAATACAAATAAAAAAATTTAACAGCTTTTGTTTGCTTGATGGGGGATGAGACTAGAGTCACCCTGATTATTGATTGAAAGTGCATTAAAATAGATAAAAAAAAATAAATTAATTAAGGCTAAAATAAATACATATCATTTAGTTGAAAATGAGTCAAAAGTGCCTTTACATATCAAAATTTTGATTAAAATGTGATAAATTAAGGCTAAAAGAGTAAAAAAATACATAAAATTGAGTTTTAGAGGGATTACTAATGATTTTTGAAATTTCACAGCCGCGACGCCCGATACCCGATACGTACCGGTCGATACTCCCGATACCAATACTCCGCAATCGATACCGTTACGTTACCCGATACCGCGATATATCGGTCTATCATCCACCTTACTTATTTGTGTAAGTGTCATTTATTTATCCACCTATCTGTCTATATATTACGTATTTGTTCACCTAATCTCCTTATCTATTCATATCATTACCATTGTCTATCGTCATTGGCCCACTTTCGATGACTTTTCCGGTGAACTTTTCGGCAATTTTTTCAGTGATGACAAATTTTCCGGTGACAGTGGTGGCGGTTCAACGGTGGTCTAGCAACAATGGGGTAAAATTTAAAAAAAAAAAAAATTCAAAACAATAATTTGTTCTTCTCACTAAATAATTTCATTAAACATGTCACTATAACAAAAAAGATTAAACCATAGACCAAATAACATATGACACATTTGTGTGGATTTTTCACCATGTCTTTATTTATTTTAGCAATACTAGAGATCCAAAAAAAAAAAAAAAAAAAAAAAAAAAATAAAAAAAAAATTATCAAATATTCTATAAAATACTCACATGGGTGTGGGACTTACATAACACTCATGTGAATATTATGTAAAATATTTAATAACTTATTTGGCTCTAGCATTTTTGATTTATTTAGTCTCCAACTGTGTTTGTATCCATAGTCACACCATTACGTATGTCACAACAAATATAAAATTTATTTATTATTGTGTAAATTTATCTATATCTATGTTACAGCAGTACATATGTCGCAACAAAATTTAGATTTCTGTATTGATGGACTGTAAGCTGAATATGCCTACGTTATAAGAGTAGCGTTGTTGAATATGGCATCCATATATTATTTTAAGGGATAATTGCATCCCAGCGGGATTTTTTTTTTATTAAAAAAAGAAGGGTAAATTAGTCTCACATCTTATGAGATTTTTGTTTAATATAGATTTTGTTATCACATTTGAAAAATTATATTTCCTCCCTAAGATTTGTAAATTTATTACAAATTACTTCCTAAATTACTGATGTCATATTCTAAATTTTTTAAAATAATCATCTTACCTTTTTTTCTACCATTTCTTCTTTCTATCATCATGATTACATTTTACAACTTTTCACCGTTAAATTTTACCTGAACATATTCTTGTTGAGTGATGATACACAAACATAAATTTTATATAGAATTTTCAAAAATAATGATATAACTTAATAGTGACCTTTAACTTTAAACAAAACACTCATAAACATAATTTATATTTACAATAATATCACTTATCACAACATTTTTATGATATTTTTTGTATAAATTTTTATATATTCAATCTTCGAATGAAATGAAGTGTTTGATAGTTTTAGAAGCATCCACTTCGAAATTGGAAGAGATGTGTTCAGTAGTTCCTTGCCCTGTTGGATTGAGAGTTGCAGCTTGAGGTTTAAGTTCTTTGCCATCGCTGCCTGCCACACACTTCCACACGAAAAACATAAAAATTGGCTTCCTAATTTTTTGCTAGTTAAATTTAAGAAACAAAGTTGAATATGCATTATTGCTCATCCTTTGGTTTTTATTCAAATTATTTACTACAAGTTTTTTTTTTTTTTATCAATTGAATGTCACACTCCCAAAGTGGGAGAGAAGACCCAACGGCAGGTGGATAGAGTCGAACCTTGACCTTTTAATGTAGGAGGGCAAAGACTGGTCAATTGGGCTAGCTTTGTTGTATTAAACCGTCATAGTGATGATAGATAGCATTCTTTGTGGTGATCCAAGAATGAAACAATTGATTCAATTTAAAAGAGAAGGTTATAGATGTCTGTCTTTGAAAGTCTCGTTAAGAAAGAAAACTTGGCACGAATTTTGTAGAATGCTAAAATCTCGTTTAGGAATAGATTATTTTAATATTTTTTTTTTATTTTTTATAAAAAAAATATATAAAAAAATAAAAAAATGATGTGATAACTTATAATAACTTTTTAATTAAAATATATAGTTGAGAAATGAAAGCAAATGAGTCAAGAAATAGATTCTTAAAATTTAATTAAAAAATTTTGAGAGTGTCAAATTATATTTGAATTTGGTTTGTTTACCATTTTGTTTTAATTAAATTGAATTCAAATTCTTAAAAATTTTAAAATGCATATAACTATTAAATTATTTAAATGTAATTAATTTAGACAGTGAGTAAATCTTGAATTTTTTTTTAAACAAGTGGAGCTGAACTTGAGTGTACACAGAACTACACATACATTCGACACATGTTGGGATTTGATTAGTCATAACAATTATTATTTAAAAAGGAACTAGCAGTGCCCTAACAACACATTGGGCACATGTTCGGATTTGATTAGTCATTATTATTATTATTATTATTATTATTATTATTATTATTATTACGAGAAATAATTTTTAAAATTGTGTTGTAGAACTATAATTTCTCTGTTTCAGTTTGAAGATTCCCTGGTTGAATTGCTTCAAAGCCTTGCAGATGTGGATATAACATTCAAAGCACTTAAGGCAATCGAAAACATGTCTAATATATATATATATATGTATATATTTCATTTTCATTCTTTCTAAGAGTCTCTGTCTCAGGAAACTGATTAATAAAAAAACCTATTCATAATGAAATTAAAATTTTAGGAACATAATATAATTTTTAAAATAATAAAAACTAATTTATAATTTAAGTAAATTTCAGAAAATCTGTTTGTAATTTATGCTATTATTATTTATACAATTAGATTTGTCGAGCTTTTTTCAAAGATTTTAAACAAATTCCACCTTTTTATGAAATTGTTTAGTTCTTAGTCTTATCCAATTGCATCCTACCAACCACTCATTTGGCTTCAAAACATTTAAACAACAAATAAAGTTTGGACTTTGGATTTGACTAATTATCGTTTGGAATAAGTTCTTTTCTGGTTTTTTGTGATCAAGTTTTTATTATTTTTATTTTTTTAAGCATGTGGTTAAAAAAGAGAGAAAAAAATGAGAAAATTATTAAAAAGTCTAATTTAAAGAGGATATAAGGTATTACAATGAGTGAATATTTTTTATTGGCGAGAGATCCATCATTTGTAAAATAATTTGGTGAGAAATTATTTTATTGGTTTTGAAGGAGATTTTATTTTCAATTTTACTCCTTAAGTTATCTGTTGACTTTGAGTATCTATTCAAATCTGTATCTACTTGTTTAAATATATATATATATATATATATGTTTAATTTTTTTGGCTATTTGTTTAAATTTATATATGTCTATTGAATTTTTTTTAATCTATCTGTTGAAATTATCTATTAAAATTATCTACATGTTGAAATTATTTCTTAAAATTATCTATTTGTTGAAATTACTCATTTTTTTCCTTATCTGTTCAAATATATATCTAAATTTTATTATTTGTTCAATTTTTTCACTTATCTATTTAAATCTATCTATCCAAATTTTTTTATCTGTTTAATTTTTTTTGACTATTTGTTCAATTTTTTTCCCAGATCTCTTATCTATTGAAATTCTTTGTTACCAAAACAATATATATATATATATAAAATAAATCTACACAAATTTGGCTTTTGTTTTGATTTACATAGATCTATAAAACAAACCCAATGAAGCAAATACATATCTATTCACACACACACACACACACATATATATATATGCAACTGTGAATCAGATCTAAGAATTTAATGATGACATGGTGGTTCCACCACCGCGTTTCTCTTTCCAGCTCCGGCCATCCCCTCACGTGTCGTCGTCGACATCAGATGCAAGTTGTTGATGACCAATCTCTAGCCAATAAATCTACATACAACAAACACAACTTGTAATCCATCAAGTACATATAGAGAAGAACAAAACTCTTTGATCAGAAATCAGAAAAAAAAAGAGCAATCAATCAGAAATTAGGAAAAAAAATATGAGCAATTTGAAAACAATTTGTAGACCTCATCATCTGTTGCATCTAACATCTGTATTAACGTTAAATCATTCATAAAAACAACAATGTCACAAATGAGTTTTCTTAAAAAAACATTTGATCAATGCACATAATACTTATATAATCCACAATACGAAAGCTATATCATATTTTGTTACTGATAATACATATATATACACACACACAAAAGCTTTATCATGATTTTGTATTCTATGCAACTTTAGTATAATCAATAATAATTATTTAAATGAACAATAAGCAACTTCACACGAGAAAAATCTAGACCTCATACCTATCTATCCATTTATTTACATGATCATAATTTAAAAAAAAAAATTAAAATTAAAAATTCAATTTGGATTCTATACGTGTAATGAAAATTACCAATCATGTACCTACCTATATGCATATACATATATATAAATTCATAAACATTTTAAAAATGAAATCATTTGAAAATTAAGATTATAATGGAAGTTTTACCTTATGTTCGATCTTAGGAACCTTCATATAGTGATTTTGTTGTTGTTGTTGTTGAAGTGATGGACGATGGACGACTTCTCAACAGATCTAGATCTAGATTTGAATCCAGATTTGTGACTTTGGAGATTTTTATAGAGGTCTGGCATAGTGACCTCCATGTCATGGACGAAAACCTTGCGGTTGATTTCATTGTCAGTGACATCAGATTTGTGTAGCGGTGGCACCATCGGAGAGAGAGAGAGAAAGAGAGAGAGAGAGAGTAGATCGCTCAGATGACGGTGACAGCAGTAGATTGGTAGTGATAGACGGTAGAGCCAGTGGCACCACGACACTGCTGCATCGACGAAAAGATGACGAGAGAGAGAGAGAGAGAGAGAGAGAGAGAGAGAGGAGAGGATGAGAGAAGAAAATTATGGGGGGGAGAGAGAGAGAGAGAGACCATATGACAGAGGCAGGTTGTGAGGTGCTAGGGTTTGGTTTGTGTATATAATATATATATATATATATATATTTTGATCATTTTATTTAAATTTGTACTTTGTTAGAAAATATTTAAAGACTTGGATATTTGACCAAATAAAATTTACAATTAGATTTATGGATCGACTATCAAAAAAAATTCTACTGCTAAAAGGTAAACAATAAATGCTAATTGCAAAGTATATTACACCCCTCAAAAAAAAAAAAAAAAAAAAAAAAAAAAAGAGCAATCAATCAGAAATTAGGAAAAAAAATATGAGCAATTTGAAAACAATTTGTAGACCTCATCATCTGTTGCATCTAACATCTGTATTAACGTTAAATCATTCATAAAAACAACAATGTCACAAATGAGTTTTCTTAAAAAAACATTTGATCAATGCACATAATACTTATATAATCCACAATACGAAAGCTATATCATATTTTGTTACTGATAATACACACACACACACACACACACACACACACAAAAGCTTTATCATGATTTTGTATTCTATGCAACTTTAGTATAATCAATAATAATTATTTAAATGAACAATAAGCAACTTCACACGAGAAAAATCTAGACCTCATACCTATCTATCCATTTATTTACATGATCATAATTTAAAAAAAAAAATTAAAATTAAAAATTCAATTTGGATTCTATACGTGTAATGAAAATTACCAATCATGTACCTACCTATATGCATATACATATATATAAATTCATAAACATTTTAAAAATGAAATCATTTGAAAATTAAGATTATAATGGAAGTTTTACCTTATGTTCGATCTTAGGAACCTTCATATAGTGATTTTGTTGTTGTTGTTGTTGTTGTTGTTGTTGTTGAAGTGATGGACGATGGACGACTTCTCAACAGATCTAGATCTAGATCTGAATCCAGATTTGTGACTTTGGAGATTTTTATAGAGGTCTGGCATAGTGACCTCCATGTCATCGACGAAAACCTTGCGGTTGATTTCATTGTCAGTGACATCAGATTTGTGTAGCGGTGGCACCATCGGAGAGACAGAGAGAGAGAGTAGATCGCTCAGATGACGGTGACAGCAGTAGATTGGTAGTGATCGACGGTAGAGCCAGTGGCACCACGACACTGCTGCATCGACGAAAAGATGAAGAGAGAGAGAGAGGCGGATGAGAGAAGAAAATTATGGGCGAGAGAGAGAGAGAGAGAGAGAGAGAGACCATATGAGAGAGGCAGGTTGTGAGGTGCTAGGATTTGGTTTGTGTATATAGCATATATATATATATATATATATTTTGACCATTTTATTTAAATTTATCCTTATGAACAAAGTATTTAAACACTTGCATATTTGACCAAACAAAATTTACAATTAGATTTATGAATCGACTATCAAAAAAAATTCCACTGCAAAAAGGTAAACAATAAATGGTAATTGCAAAGTATAATACCCCCCAAAAAAAAAAAAATTAAAAAGTTTCGTTTAAATTAGACCTGACTCTCTATTTGGCACTAGTTTAAAACTGGATTTTTTTTTCTTCAGATTTTTTGATAGAAAGTCCAAACAAGCCAAGGGTGTCTAGCTAATTTTTCTTTTTAACCATTCAACAGAATCCATGAATTATTAATTTTAGTGAGGCTAAGAAAATCATACTATTAATTAAAAAGGGGAAAACACCAATAAATCTCAAATTTAGATAGTTTGAACCATAGAGTCCTGCATTTATTTTGTAGACGGAAAGGTCTCATGTCAATGTTACTTATACACAAGCCCATGAACTTAGTGCGTGTGTTGGCAATTTCAAGGGCTAAATTGGGCTTTTAGATGATGTTGTAGTTACAAAAACGTCCAAAAGCATACTATAACAATTTTTTTTTCCTTTCCATACATTGTGAACAAAACGGAAGCTCGAGAATGGAAACTTCTAGGTTTCCTTCTAATTGTTGCGATGTTGATCCTTATTTTGTTTGATCTCGATCAACGTTGGATTTGGCAACGTTACACCTAGAAATCATTATTCCCTAAACAACATTACACAACCCCTTCAAAACCCTTCAAAAATGAAAACCCCCTTGTAGCAAATTTATAGAGTCGAGTCAGCGTGGGCATTGAGACATCTTAGGTTGCGATTGATGGTGAGGACGTAACGTCGGCAATTTCATATCAATCCTTCGGCGACGTTGTTGATCGTGTCATTGTGTGATGGCAATAGGTATGTGTGTCTCTAATGTTACTTTGTGTGTATGTGAAATAATACGACATCAAGGTTGATGCTAGAAATGGTTTTTTTGTTTAAGTGTTGTGTAATATGGGGTTTTAGTTGGGGTTATGGACATTTTGGGTTTGGGGATTATCAGCGTTTGCAAATGTTATGTTGTATAGGTATTGAGTGTAACAGATGCATGGTTTAAGCTAATTTTTTTGTGATTGGTTTGGGCACTTGTAATGTTAGTACTGTTGGGTGTTAGTGAGTGGCTGTATGCTTCAAATTGTGGATAGGGTTTGATGTTAGCAGGTGGTTGTGACATTTAATAATTGGGGATTGTCGAAGTTGGTTGATGTTATTTTGTGCAGTTGTTATTTTGTACTGATGCTTTATGTTGTAAATTTATGTTGTTTTTGTTATGCTTGGTTGGAGAACTTGGAATGCTAATGTTATTGGGTGTTAATGGGAGGCTAAAGGGTTCAACTATGGGTTTGGCTTGATGTTATTTTAGATAGTTGTGGAGTAGTTTGTATCGCTGCTTCGTTAGGGAAGTTGGCTACTCCAATGTTATGTTGATAATATAAGATAATTTTTTTATGATTGGTTGGAGAAGCTATAATGCTATTGTGGTTGGGTGTTAGTGGGAGACTATATGCGTCAAATTATGAGTTTGGTTTGATATGTAAGTTAATTTCATTAGATTTTGTAATGTAAACATATTGTGGATGTTGTTGGGTGTTATTTGCGGATGTGGTGTTCGAATATTGTTGTGTATATGGTTGAGTAGTGTCCGTTTACGTTGAGATGGAGTTCTTTATGTTGCCACTGGATATGGTAGGGTGTTTTGCGAATGAACGATAATGAAATTGTTGGCTATAGGTGGGGCATGTGTATGGGTTGGCTGTCACGATCCAAACCCGTCCCTATGGGTTTAGCACCGTAACCGGCCAGTAATCCGAGATTACCGAAGGCCTGCTTATTAGTAAAATAGTAATACAGAGTACAGGGGCTGGCGGAAGCCAAAACAGTAATTAAAAGATGTCCATTGAGCTGTGACAGTCTGTATGTAAAAAGACATTTCATAATGTGCTCACATTCAGAACAAAACAGTATATACATGCATCATTTACAGGCATTTAGGTTAGGGATCAAATCCCCACCATAACAGTACAGTACAAATATCATTCAGTCTATACAGTATTACAAAATAGATACAAAAAAGGAGAATCTAAAACACCCTAAAAGCCCTGGCTTGAAGGACTCGGAACCTTTCAGTGAGGCACAGTGGTTGGCTTGACAAAACAAGAGCTTGGCCTGACGCTCCTAGCAACGGTCCGGTGCCTGTACACCTACATATATATATGAGCAGTGAGCTAGAGCCCAGTGAATAACATATGCGTAAAGAGGTTAAGAATAAATGTCCTTTCAGTATTGAAAACAGTCATTTGAACAGTATATCAGTTATTTGATCATAGCGGTCATAAGTGGTACATTCAATAGCAAAACAGTACAGTAGGTCTTAACAGACCGAACAGTCAGTTGATGGCCATCATATCAGTAAACAGTAGTGGTTCCAACATGGGAACTGACAGAGATCTCTGTGACAGTAGCAGTACAGTACAGTATCAGTAAATTGCTATGGATGCCACGAATACAGTTCACAAATAGGACAAACATTCATTCAGTAAACAATAATATTTCATAAAGCAGTTCAGTCATTCGTTCAGAAAGTAATTTCAATTGAACATATCTTTACAACATTGTTACTCACAGAGCACTGGGCTATAAGCAGCTAGAACGTCCTCGGATGCCAACCCTACACAGTTACAGAACGAGCACACACTAAGCTACACAGTTGGAAAATAATAACTTAATCCCTAATTTGCCTCGGTGTGGTTCTATATCAATATCCTCATTAAGATGCCTTAAACTAGGCCTGGGAATGCCTAGGATGGAATGAGGATGCAAAGATGCACTTTTAAACACTTTACAAAATTTTCAGAAAATAAGGTCTACGCTCGAGCGTGGCTTTCCCCGTTCGAGTGAACATGCAGACAAAGGTTCCCCGCTCGAGCGTCACTTTCCCCGCTCGAGCGGACTGCAAAACATGGAAAAAGTACTGGATGCACGAAATTCACGCTCGATGGGCGCTCGACCCCCGCTCGAGCGGACTGCAAAACACATGCAAAGTACTGGATGCACGCATTTCCCGCTCGAGCGTTACTTTCCCCGCTCGAGCGGACTGCATGAATTTAGTGTGTACGCTTGAGCGTGGAGTTCCTCGCTCGAGCGTAAGTCCAAAATCTGGAATTTTCAGATTTGAACCTCAAGCTCAAAACTCAACTTTGATGCACCAAATTCGATCCTTTAGGGCTAATTTTCTGGAAAACACTTCAAAACCCATAATATTACATGCTTCAAAGAGATCAATTTGTAAAATCAAAGCCCAAAGGTAGTTCAATTAAACACAATTTGAAAGAAGTTTCAAGAACAAAGCTCAAACATAACATGCCTGTATTCAATTAAATCCAAAGCTTCAAATACATGGTCAAATGACTCAATCCTTCCAAAAACATGATGAATTCTTGAACTATAAACAAAATATGAACATGCAAGTGGAAATTCATGAAGAACAACTCCAAAATTCAACAATGTGAACATGCATGCAAGATTTAAGCCTCAATTCAACACTTGTAAATCAATTCTAGACTTAGACCACTAAATTCCCATGAATCATGCAAGACACAACTTCAATTCACAAATGAGAGGATGAAATTTCTACCTTATGTCTTGAATTCAAGGTATACAAGCTCAAATATACAATTTCCTTCCAAATTCTTCAAGTAAAACTCTTGTTGAATCAAACTATCTCCTACCCCTCTCTCTCTAGTCGGTTTGGTCTCTCAAAATGGCTGAGGAAATGTTGTGGGAAGTGTATAGATCACACTCTAAGCAATGGTTCTAAAGTGGCCTACTAATGGCAAAATGGTAAATAAAGCTAACTTTTGTAATTTAGCTTATTTAATCTAATTTAATCATACCAAATCACATTTCAATTAAGTATACCATAAAATCACATAAATTCTAACTAGCATAAAACATTAATCAATTTCGGATTCGGCCGCCGATAAGGCCTTCAATTTGCAGTTTAAAACATAAAACATGAACAGATAATTTAGCAATCAAACAGATAGACATGCATTTAAACTAATATACTCAATCAATTAGTTAGAATTTCGGTCTATCAGTCAGTTGACATGCTTAATCATAGATTAGCACTAATCAGTGGTATTCTCAGTAAACAGTGGTGAGGGTTGTCACATTGGCTGTGGGTGTAATGTTGATTTTGTGAACACTTTTTATTTTTTTATTTTTTGTAAAGTGATTTGCTATTCTGATTTGATTGTGCATGTTCGACGTACATGCATAATGTGCATATTTTTTGAATTTATGTTTTTCCCATATGTTGTTGTGTTTTTTTGGCAAATGTTACAAGATTCAGCTAGTTACGGTGTTGGCGCATGGTGTCATATACTTGTCATTTTGTGGACATCATAATTTTTTGATTCAGCAAGTTCCCATACGTTGTTTATTTTAATACAGTTATGTAGAGTGGTTGGAGTAGTTAGCTTGTGTTCCATGCTGTGTTATTTCATTTGTTTGTTTCTTTGTTGATTTTTTTTTTTTTTGGTGAATCCCGTTTAAATATGATATTGTGATTAACGTGGTAGGTAATGCTAGACGGGAAGGTTCAATTTGCAGGTTTGGGGGGCGAACACCATGATTGTAATTGTCTGTCCAAATGTTTACAAGAATGGCGATGATGAATCAAACACAGTTGTCGTTCAAAAAAAAAAAAAAATGGTTTCCAATACTGGATGGAAAATTGAAGTCGACACGTTGAGGCTAATGTACTGTTTAAACGTGGTTGGTGTGATTAAAACTGTGTTTGCGTTGGAATTCAGTGCAATACAGATTCGACAACTACAGAAGATGTCGTTTTGGTTGATGATAGAGGCAATCTGTATTCACAACCTG